TCAGGCATCATGTAAGGGGGTACAGGTAAGGGAAAGTAAAAGGCAATCGACGTAGGTAAGGCAGGTCCTTGTAGTTAAGGTAGTTTAATACCGGTTCGGCCGAGGGCTAGCAGCACCAGGCCGCGTACAATCCGTTATATTACAACGACCGGGGTAGTCCAGCCAGCGTACAAAGCAGCGCATGACATAACAGTGTGGGGGGGGCAGAGTACAAGCAGAGTCTTTTACAGCATAGAGTAAGGTGTGTAAAGAGCAGGCATTTACAGAAGTTGTTCACAATGGTCAGCAGGTAAGCAGGCAGACAGAGCAAGGGTAGTCAAGAGTGGTAAATCAGTGAGGCAAGAGGCACGTAAGTATCAGCGGAGAGTCAGTAGTTTGTCTATCCAGGTAAGTCAACAAGTAAGCAGGGTGAGAGCATTACAGTACAGGCAGCAGTAGGTAGGAGGTCAGATAGTGTCAGGTAAACAGTAGAGAAGGATCTGTGAGTCAACAGCCAGCAGTCGAAGGGGTGAGTAGTTATAGCAGCAGTCATGCAGTAAGCAATAGGGGGGCAGTACAGGCAGCCAGTTTCGACAGTAGTAAGTCAGAGCAGGCAAGATTACCACAGAGTTTAATCATAGTGTACAAGCCATCAGCAGGAGTAATCATTGCAAGTAAAGTAGCAGCAGTCAGTGGCAGGCATAAAAACTCATGCATCTGCCATGGTTCATAGGTTAACAGCTCTTGCACCGACACAGTTTCCACCTCCATCTCCCACCGGCTCCTAAATCTCTACAGAAGAGAGTGAGGATGACTTACCAATAACAGCTTATCCATGCTGGTGGAAAGCACCAAATGGAGGAAACAAAGTGACTTTACAATGGCAGAGATATACGTAGTAGTACATATAATTATAAAAATGAGTGGAGACATGTAATTAAAAACCCTGCGAATATTTAAAAAAAAGCAAATAGGGATGGTATAAAATGAAGGGGAGACAAGATAGGGATGGGATACATGAAGCATGGTTGATGAACAGATTTGACCACGCTGACACCCCCGATCCCATCACACAATCCCTATATTGTTGCATAGGTGAAGTATTAAGCATTCAACATCACAATTGTCAGGACTTACAACTTGAAAATACAAAAAGTCATGCCACTGAGTAACCACCACCGTTACCATAACAATGTGAAGTCATGCTACTGAGTAACCAAGGATCCAAATAGGCAACAATAAAGGGATTGTGTGATGGGATCGGGGGTTATCAGCGTGGTCAAATCAGCGTGCTCTTCTCTCCCTTTCTTTTTATACCATCCCTATAATGCATCTTTTCTAAATTTGCAGGATTATTAATTTACTTGTAAAGAGTAGAAATACAATTAGCATCTTCCCAGTGCTATGACTCTTGTAGATGCTTCATGTTGGCGAGCGGAGATGGAGGTCACTTGTTGTCTCTAAAAAATCTCCGTTGCATCATAAGTTCTGTTATACTTGTCACAGAACCTGGTTGGTAGCCCACCTGATCTGCGAAAACTATGTAGAAACCCAGTGTATTAATTTGTCACCACCAGCTATGCACTCAACCTGAAATGGAGTATTTTAATAGCAGGCTCACTTGCGTGTCTCAGCGACTTCAGTCTCTGCTTCCAAATACCAAACCTTGAAAAAGTGCTTTGTTTACTAGAACACTTGCAGCTGAGCTACCGTTATCGTTTGAAAAACGACTTACTGACACTGTAAAAGCAGATGCACTAAACACAGAAATGCTCAGTGGAAAATTGAAAAAGTGTCTCTAGTCTGCTCTCCAATCCTATAGTGAGCATAACAGGAGGAGACAGTGACCACAACTTTCAGCTTGAGAAACAGCAGTTGTGACTGTACAGGTACTGCATTACTTTAGTTCTTGTGTTCTTCGTCGTCTGATCCTTTGCTGAAAAGTTTCATCCGTTTTTCAGCTCTTTTGACACTGAAAGTCCACCATTTCTTGAGTGAAGCAAACCGTTTCCCCAGATTCAGGTTGTGGGTCCTTTGTAGCTTCTCCACATGGAAAATCCCGGTTACACACCCTGTGGAAATCCTTCACGTCTTCTTTAGCAAGATCAAGAGCTTCTAGCAATTACCCTCGCTTCGACTCTTTCAAGGGGAACCTATGAAGCGACACACTCTTGTCTTTCTGTATTACCGCACACAACACACTGCATAATGACTGAGAGAGCAGGCGTTGTTTTGCTTGTCACGAGTTGACGAGGAGCTATAATTAACCCTCGCATGCGCAGCGAGGGTTATAGTACTTAGTTTGTCATTCTGTCCGTCTGTCCGTCCGTCCGTCTGTCTGTTACCACGTTTTCTCCCACTACGCGCAACAAGATGGCCAAAAAGCGATACCAACGGGTTCAGTGTCACACTGGCTTTATTTAAAATGAAGTTATGGCGTGAAAAGCAAGTCAAGGAGCTAATATGCAAATTAGCACAGGTTTACCTCGACCGTGTCTGCTCGTTCTGTGTTCTTGAAAGCACAAGAAGTCACAACGGATGGCGTGTATCGACTCCTGCATGCTATCTACTACTGTAGCTAGCCCGTGCCAGACTATCCGCGAGCTACTAACGGGATACCACGAGTAAAGGCATAAAAAGCCCAGCCCATCAATTAGTGGTACCGCACATGCCCAGTTCGCCGAGGGTTTGCACTTTAGTGCTTTTCGTTTTTCCATGGTATTGGTTAAATAGAGAATAATTCCAGTATAGCCCATGGATGTACACCATAAGTTAATTTATGCCCATTAAAATCTTATGCTAAAGTTATTAACCCTCGGCACGCATGCACAGCGAGGGTTACAGTACTTGGTCGGTGTGTCCGTCTGTTACCACGTTTTCTGCCACCACACGTAACAAACAGGTAAAAAAGCGACACCAAGATTTCGCTCATACGCACGATTTCAGGGGAAAAGCAAAAAACCGACTGTATGGCATAATAAATGAAAAGCACTGAAGTGCAAACCCTCGGCGCACTGTGACGCGCACGCGTAAGTAAACGCATGCGCCGTACCACTAATTGATGGGCTGGGTTTAGTTTTAGCTGTTACTCGTGGTCTCTTGCCAGCTCGCGCAGAGTCTGACGCGGGCTAACTACACTACTAGATAGCATGCGAGAGGCGATACACGCCCTGCGTTGCATCTTCTTGTGCCTCCGAAGTACGCAGAGCACAATCCGCGGTAAGCCGTTGCGTATTTGCATATTAGCTTTTTCGCGCTCTAGCTTTGCAACGGAGCATTTTCAGAGAAAACCGCACATAATTTCCGACCTTCATTGCCCGTTAAGTAGATCGTGTCCTTTGTGAGACGACAAACACCCGAGAAGTGAGATTGAGAGTAGCGGACAGACAGACAGACAGACAGACAGACCCAAGTACCGTAACCCTCGCTGCGCATGCGCGCCGAGGGTGAACAAAGCACCCCTGTATGTACATCTTGTTAGTGTAGCATGGAGTTGCTAACAGCACTTTTGATATCGTTGACTTGCTAAGAAACAAGAAAATTGATTTTAAGGACTTTCAGACCCTAGAAATGTTTTCTTGTTTCCTGGCATTGTAGCATTCAAGCCATGAAGTTATAATATAAACATTTTTTCAGAAACACCCTTAACATGTTCCAATAAATTATTTACTGCTGTGCTAGGGCAGAAACAACACTGGGGCTATTTTTAGAGTACATGCATACCTTGAACAGGTGAATCTGAATTTGTGTTTACAGTCAGCTTGGGCTCTCTACCATCATGAGAGACTTGGTTTGTCTATAAATGATAATGGTTGAACGCATAGTGAGAACAATATCATCCTTGAATACACTTGACACCGGGAAATTCATGGTAATATGAACGTGCCTTCTTGTTGCGATTTTGTGCAGTGAAGGTGTACACCATCAACTACCAATGCTGGCAAATTGGCAAAACACTCGCATGTTACACAATGGATTCTGCACATATATATGCATTGCACCTTCGGGTCATTATTACTTGCGGGTGCAAATTTTAGCGAATGGTGGACAGGACTGCTATAAATTATAGCAATTTGTGATTTACTTTCGGTGTGCATGTGGTTTATCTATCTACCTGTGGCTGGTATACTATGAACTATAATTTCATGCATACTACATAACTACGACGGACGGTGCGTCATAGAAAATTCCACCCAAAGAAACCACTAATAAGGAAATAAAAAAAGATCTGTTTTCTCTAAAACCGTTTACCTAAAGTGTTTTTGTTTACCGTTGCAGGGTCTGCCGACAAACACATGCATCCGTTTTCGTGATACTACGCGATGAATCAGCATTAGTAGATCTCAGCTCTTCCATCAGTCAAAACAGTATTCAAGGGATGCATTGCAATATACGGATTCGGTTTGGTTACACATAACGTCGGATTCATACATACCTGCCAAATTTTCCCCAACACCATGTACAGGTCGTCTAAACTCCAAAGCTGCATGTAGCAGAAACGTGTTTGCACGTGTCTGGTGTAACGAGGATAACTTACAAGGTGGTGCTCACAAACAGCGAGATCAGTTGCAGCGACAGCGGTTTCCAACTGTCTTATGGATATAATACCAGTTTGCAGCTTGCAAAGAAGTTGCAGGGAGTGGAGGAGGTGCACGCGCAGCGGCCTCTCCAGCTTGCGTGCGACGATCACCTCCCTAAGGGATGCCACTATCCGCTCGACATCTCTTGGCGTACCCGAAACTGCAAACACTTTTGGAAGCGAGAGTACAAACCGGGCTACTAATAACACCACTTCGTCCATCTGCTCCACGTGTGGATGGACTGGACTGACTCCACACACGCGCGCTCTCCCCGCGCATGAGCAGCGCGCTTGCGCTCTTCTTCTTCTTAGCCACAGGCGACAGGCTTACCTCAACCGCGTCCGCTCGCTCTGTGTATGTTGAAGGCACAAGAAGTCACAACGAAGGGCATGTATCAACTACCGCATGCTATCTACTGCTGTAGCTAGCCCGTGCCAGACTCTCCGCGAGCTACTAGCGGGATCCGGGATACCGCGAGTAAATGAAAAGCCCAGCCCATCAATTAGTGGTACCGCGCCTGCGCAGTTCACCGAGGGTTTGCACATTAATTATGATTCAAACAACAGCCCAAATCAAATGGTTTATCAGTCACAGGTCTTTACTAACAACCAAGGGCTTCAGCAGCATCTGAGTGAAGACAGCCAATCCTAGGCCAAGGCACGCACCTTGCACACCTCCTTTACACCAGTTAGCTGGAGAAGATAGTCCACCAGCAAGTCCACCTCCTATCACACCAACATAGGATACCTGCATGATAATAATAATAAGCAGGTGAAAGTGTCTGCAGCCTACATTACATGCTTCACATACCTGATCCATCAGTACTTGACCCTTATTGTATCTCAGCCTATAAGAACGATCAAATATTTGTTCCTCAGTGTTCCCCCAAGTCATGTTAGCCGTCATGACTGCAGCTAAAAGCATTCCGCACCCCTAAAAAAGGTGAAAAGATAACAGCCACCATAAACGCTGGTACAGTGCCGATTATTATGGGTTAGTCTGGTGCAGCCACCCCCAGTTAAGAACAGGAGAGAGTCTGGTCTGTATAGCATCATAGACTTGTGCCCATGGGGTGATTTTAAAATGCATACATGCACACAAGTTAGGATTGATGAATGCGAAAAGGCAGAAACCCTCCCCCTGAGCACGCGTGAAACAAAATAGGGGTCGAGAAAACCGAGGGATAAAGGGTCAGGGCCACCCCCAATCATATCTCGCATACTGGGAAAGGGTCTGGGGAGGTTAGCTCACACTACAAACCAACGTTGGGCAAGTAAAAGTAAATGCAGATACTCAGCCCATACCACTCCGTAAGTGCTTATTCTCGAAAGTCTTTGCAGCAGTGTGATTGGCTGCCTGACTCCCTTGTACAGCAATACAGGGGTACCGAAAATAATAGACACAAACGATCCCAGATTGGCTCCTCGCAATAAACAGTGGCGCCAGAGCTCCGCTTTGGGGTAAGATATAACTTCATCGCTGCTTTCAGCTTTTGCTTCAAGACGGTTGTTTCCAACGTTTCCATTGTTACAGTTCGCCTTTCTGAACAGCAGCAACAGCTTCTGGTCCGCTGTTCGAAGAAGAGTACAATTCATGTCAGACTCGGTGCCCACACCCATGGCCTTCGACCACCAGCAGAGCGAGGGCAAAGGAGAGGCACGCGCGCACTGAGCTGAGCTGAGACGCCGGCCCACGCGCGCCCCTAGCTCTATGCGTGTGTGGTGTGCGCGTGCGCAGCATGACACGGGGAAATGGCGGCTTCTACCACCTCTTCTACAGCTCCCACCACGGCGGCAGCAGCCAAGACGACGACTGTGAAAAAGCAGGTATTCACGCTCAGAGCTCAGTGCTGGGTTAGACTTACAGATGTTGAATTCTGTCGTCAGGTAGAGCAAGGACTGTGCGGATGGGCCGTGGTCCTTCAGTGAACATGGGAAGAAATGTGAGGCTAAACTGAAGTCTAGCCCCTATGACCTCGAATGTTGGAATGTACTTGTCAGAGAGGCCCAGGTTTGTTTTTTAACTTTTTATAACTCATGCATGTCTACCGTCTTATTTGTCCAGAGTACGTCTCTACTTCGTGCACGCATGTTGTATGAGCGACTAGTGACACAGTTCCCGACTTCAGGCCGGTACTGGAGACTGTACATTGAACATGAGGTCAATGCTTTTAGGAGTGTATGGTGTAGTTTGTTTGTGTTAATGATTGGTATAAACAGTTGGAGAAAGAGCATGTCTGTGCTAAAACCCTGTGCATCGTTAGACGTAGTGTCATGGGCCAGATCATGTATCCCCAGTAATCTGCCAAACAGAAAGGTGTTCACAGCACTACAATCTGACAGATCTGTTACTAACAACAGCAGTGGTGAAACTGTAAATCAATCAACCTGTCGAGTACACCCCCAACTCATGAAAGATAATGTTTAATGTATCTCCGTTCTTCACTGGAATAGTATTGTTCTGCATGTTCTTGAAGCAGGAGCTCAGAGGAGCACTTGTAAAATTCGACACTTTCCGGGAAGTAGAACTAGGTATTGGAAAACTGCAGATGGGGGAAACATATTTATAGTCATTGGTGATAACACAGCAGGGGAGAATCTATTTTGTATGAAGTTGAGAAGTTTTTGGATCTTACACTATTACACAGTAACAACATTATGTACATTAACGTATGTGTAGTAGGTGCCTGTCAAATCACCTTCAAATTTTACATACTTAAACAAAAATAGCGGCTATTAAGTAACGTTCAAATGGAGTTTGCAACCCCCTTCAAGTTACTGGTTTTAAACACATTTGTGCTAAGTTATGGCTGTGCTATTTGTTGCCGACTGCTCTTTCTCCATGATACTTCCACAGTGTCTTCTCTATACGTACATAACTGTTTTGATAGTACAACATTTTGATTGTTGATGTATTATATTTTAATCTCTGATGATTTGCATGCTGCATGACTACAATCAGAGCATGTGAGCATGATAATCAAGCATGGCTTTGGCGGTGTTTCTTCTGTCTCACGTGGCTATAAATGGACTCAGCGCATGCTCATATGCACTCTCACTTCGTTATCATCATATACAATCTATGTGTCAGGTCATGTTGCTTGTGTTTGTAATGTCATTCATCATGATGATAATATTGTTTCCTCTCTGACACTATAGATGAGAAACCGTAATTATGAGCAGGTGGAGGAGGTAAATCGCTACCATGTAGTAGTTTTGCATGGTGCCACTGTTACGGCATTGTGCCGTGATGCAAACACTCTTTATCAAACTACGTGCAATTCCAAATAATAAAGGTCGTCACCAATAAATCAGAGGGCATGCCCAAACTTGTGACTTCAGTTTACTCTGCTGTCGTTTATTAGTGACACAATAATCAAGCCATGACTTTGTAACATCATTTTAAGACTCAGACTATGACTAGGAGCATTGATTGTGATGATTTTGTGGAGATATTGCGTAACTGGGTGGCACGAAAAGCACTCAGCCAAATTAATTGGCGATCAAAGCAAAGCCTACCTAGTTCTCTTGATATGTGATTTCCGATCATGGCCCACTGTTGGACATACCGTAATCTTTTACCAATGAAGAAACGGAATTGAAATTTTGCAATGGTGTGTGTTGCGTGCATGTTAGTTTCTCTATCATTCGCTCGCCAAAAATCGCATTGCTACTTTAATGGTAATAAGCGAAGATCTGACACTGCACTCAAGCCAATCAGCCACCTGTATCTATAACATAGATGCAGACAAAGTGAGTGCTTGTAGGCCCTCACCTATCATTTGCCAGTGAGGGAAAAGATTGCAACTGTGAAACACAAGAAGTATTGTGTTTGCGCAGCCTTTTCAATGCTTAAATCTCCTTTCGTCTATACTCAAGCTATTCCAGCGTTGTCTGATGAAGATCCTTAACATTGATCTGTGGAAGTGCTACGTCACGTATGTACGAGAAACAAAGTCTTCTCTGCCCAACTTCAGGTTATTAGTGCTGACATGATAGTCTTTTCCCCAACCTTTCAGTCTTCAGTAGATGTTGTATAGTCTCTTCCCCAGACCACCTATATTATATGCAAGACTATAGATGGTTCATTTGATTTTCTTGGCATTATTTTTAATGTCGTGCTTGAATACGTTTGTTTGCGCAGTGATACAGCCAGTATTAGCACGTCAATGTGGCCAAACTGCTGCAGACTACTTGAAAGGTTGACAACCTTTGCGCGTCTATGGACACCAGTTTGCATGATTGCATGAATGCATGATTTCGTGGTCTTTCTCAAGGCAGAGCTCAGTACTTTACAGAAGTCCCCAGGAACCTCTCTGTGACTGTTGCTACCGATGAAACTTCTCAGAGGGAAGTCTAGACCACGCTAAATATGCCAACTCCATCTCTATCGAACCTTGTGTGACTGTAGTAACAATAACAATTGCATTAAATGACAAGCAATTCTTGCAGTGTGATTTGTCCTAGATTATATAGTGCCAAGAAAATTGACTTAACTTCCCAGACCTTTTATCCATTGGCAGTCATTGCACAAGACTGTAGGTTGCATGTCACATGCCAGTGTAATTTCTTGCATACAGTACGTAGCTGTCAAGCTGCAGACACAACCTTCGTAGCAGTATAGAAGTAAGTATGTATGGCTGCTTCTGTATTGGCTATGTCATCCTGTAGGGTAAAGATGAAGCAGGCATATGACTTTGCTGTTGAACATGTTGGTATAGACTTCCACTCCACCACACTCTGGGCTGATTACATCAATTTTCTCAAATCTGAGTGGGTTCTCAGTATGCAACTCTAAATGTCCACCTTTTTGCATGATCTTGTTACAGGGCAACTAGTGGCTCATATGCAGAAACACAAAAAACGAACGCTATACGCAAAGCTTATCACGTAAGCCACTTAACATATATATCATCCACATTGGAAATGATGGTTGTTTCCCTCATTTTAGCAAGTTGTCATGACTCCCCTCATGAACATTGAACAAATGTGGAGGGACTATTGCAATTTTGAACAGGTCTCTCAGATAGGCATACACATAAAGTGTTAGCTAAGGACGTGCTAACTTTTTTTCTAGATGTCGTCCAAGGCTGCAGCAAAGCGAAACATTGACGCTGTGAGTAGAACGTATGTCCATTCTAAAAGAGCCTCTGCTGAGCTAGAGAGCTGCACAAGAGGTCTTATCCGAGGAGCCACATCTGTACCCTTACTGGGAACAGTGCAAGAGATTCAGCAGGTAAACTCATCATGTCTACAAGAAGAGGGCACCACCAACCAAGTGATTAATTGTCGTCCTATGGCTTAGTAGTCTCATACCCAGCCACTAGGGCGAAGGAGCATTTCTACTCCTAAATACGTCATATGCAAACTGCTCTTCTGGTGTGTGTTGCATTCGAGGCCCTGTCTACCAAAGTCTGTGGACTACAGTACGTTACGTTGCTTGGCCATTCTGCAATCTGATTGAAGATGTCAATTACGGTATCTAGGACCAAGAAATGTATCAATAGTTACCTGGCCCCTTTTTCCATGTGATGAGTTTGTGGGAGTTTGGGGACGAGACTAGTGGCTTAGATGAAATATTATATTTAGATATTTGCATCCTCAACGCAAAAAAACAAAGATGATCAATTGAGTAAGGTTTACCAGTTAAATGGGAATGTGTGTATGCTTGAATATGAGGGAAAGACTAAAGGGTGAAGAAAGAATTCATGGTCTATGTCAGCTGCAAAATTGTAGCATTCACATGCCAATACCGTAAGCTGCTTCGTTTATGCAATGCAGTTGAAGATCTGGAAGCAGTTCATAGCATGGGAGAAGAGAAATCCAACTCGTACTGAAAGCAATGCCCTACTTGTCAAAAGAGGTTAGTAGAATCGTGGGGGAATCCCAAAAGTGCAGAATTTTTACGTACATACAGTTACTATTGTTTCTGCCACCTGATTAAAATGTTGCTGGGATATGCTGCCCATTTGTTACCATTCATGGTGATGGAAAGTGACATGGAATTTTTTGCTGCAGTTCTCTATGCCTATGAGCAATGCTTACTGTGTTACAGTCACTGTGCTGAAATCTGGTATGAAGCAGCCCTATATCTGCAGAGGGCCAGTGAGACAGGGGTATATAGGATGTCCTGTTAGCCAATCTTTTATGTTGCTCGCACATCCCTTTTCCCAGAACACTCAGTTCAAGGAGCGCTGGGCCGAGGAGGCAGCTATGCTGTACGAGCGTGCCACTACTATTTCACTGTCCAACAGTCCCCTGCTGCATTTTGCCTTTGCAGACTTTGAGGAGGTTTGTACATTCATAAGACTAGTATAACATATTTGGTACATACTCCCTCACTCTTTCTCGCAGTCGCGCCTGAAATTTGACAAAGCTGAAGCCATATACAAAAAACTACTGGAGAAAAAGGATATTCAGCCCACACTGGTGCGTATTGTCTTTATTCAAGTACACACATTATTGTCCGTGTGTAGGTATTTGTACAGTACATGAAGTTCAGTCGCAGAACTGAGGGCATCAAGGCAGCTAGGAACGTGTTCAAGCAGGCACGGGAAGATCCTAGGTGTAGTCATCAGATCTATGTTGCCGCAGCACTCATGGAGTACAACATCAGCAAGGTACAGAAAATGTATGTAGTGATGAGACTTTCGTATAGCGGTGCTGAAGGTGTTTAGACCTTTGTGAAAGTGACTTACACATGTCACTTTGTCGTTCATTATGGTGAATGGTGTATGAGTGCATATGTGCTAGCATGGAGAGTTTTATCCATCCGATTAATCTGCATGTCTCATTTCCGATAAAGTGTGGAAGTGCAAACCCTAGGCGAACTCGGCTATTAGTATGCGTTTACTCGTGGTTTCCTGCTAGTAGCTCGCGGAGAACCTGACACGGGCTGCTACAGCAGTAGATAGCATGTGGGAGTCAATACACACCCTTCGTTGTGACTTCTTGTGCCTTCAGGATGCACAGAACAAGTGCACCCGCTCGAGGTAAGCCTGTTCTAATTAGCATATTGGCTTTTTCGCTCGTGTTTCACGCCGTAACTCTTGAACGCAGCAGTTTCAGAGAAAACCCTACATACTTTTCGACCTATACCCGATGCTGAATACCTGGTATTGTTTGTGGAGCGATTCATGGCTCGTGAAGTGAGATGTTGGGTAACAGACAGACACACATGACAACTACAGTAACCCTCGCTGCGCATGCGCGCCAAGGGTTAATAATGTGTAAGTAAAGGAAGAAGTAATGTCTGGGAATCTAACCCACCACCTTATGCAAGTGAATAACGAATTTAATATTTATAAGGATGGTGAGGGAGACGAGATAAGGATGGGATATAGGAAGAGTGGTTTACAAGCAGATGGTGAGCGCGCTGACACAAGCCCATCACACTATACCTATTATTGTTACCTGGTGTGCCACTCTCAAGCAGTATACAATGGTGGTAGGTAGTAGCACCATAGAAGACACTTTTCTAGTAATAGTACACATAATGGTGAATGTCTCATAACCTCACCTAAGCGGGGATTGTGTGATTGGCTAGGGCACGTCAGCGTGCTCACAATCTGGTCGTAAACCATGCTTCGTACATCACACCCCTATCTTGTCTCCTCTTTATAGTATTTTATCCTCCTTTTCCCTGGATTTCTTTGTCTCCTCTCATTTTACATAATATTATGTCATTCTTACTGGCTGTCATGTAAATAAATGATGTGCACACAACCATTAGAAAGTTGGACGACTGAAAAGCGCCTGGGGCTATACGTATGTTCTAGTGTATGAACTTGTAATCGTCCTGTAGATGATGCAATACACACATATACAAAGTTTCAGGTCTATGCATGCTACCGTTAGCAAGTTTGAAGAGTAAAAAAGTAAAGCCAGTGTTTGGGGCTCATTGCTGTTTACAAATGTGTGATCAAATTGGATGTCACAGAAACGATGTAATATGTACGTCAACGCTGTTGTGTAATCAAATTAAATGTCATAACGATGATTCATATGCATTACCATTGGCCAGTTATAATGAAGAACAATTTAACATTGCCGAGGCCAATCATTCTTGTTTACGTGTTTTTTTATATCTGGTGAGTGACTACATTATGTAAACATATTTCGTTCACAAAGCTTTCACCATTAATTTTGTTAACACATGTGTGCCCTTTACAATGCATTGCTTGGGGCTATTTGTTGTTGTTTACAGTAAACAGCATTGTTTACAAACATATAAGTTTCACAGCCGGATATACAAATTCCTACAAAATTTCATGACTTTGCTTTTTGAGTTACGTCTCTTCAATCTGAAAAAGAAGAGAAAAAACGTTCCCTATCATACAACTATGGCTCCATGGCCATCCCTATACTACAATGCTTAGTAGTACAGTCGGCCAATTCAACCTTACTTGAACTTAGTCTTGTGCATATGTGCATGATTGTTGTCTTCAAACATTGTGTGCAACAAATTATTGATGAGGGGAAATGAGATACACATAATGTTGGCGTGTGTGTAGTACATGTGTGATAGTTCACATATCCATGTACTACAGTCATCTTGTCTGTGTAATTACAGGACAAGGCGATAGCATACAAAATATTTGAGTTGGGTTTGAAGAAGTTTGCAGATGATCCAACATATGTGCTGGCATACTTGGATCACCTCTCTCACCTCAACGGTTAGCACCACCCTGGCCTAACTGATACCATTTCAGAAACAATGTTTTTTACTCAGAGGACAACAATACTCGTGTACTGTTTGAAAAGGTACTAGCTACAATGCCAGCTGAAAAAACAAAGTGAGGATTCTTGTCCACTCTTTGTACTCTAATACTACTATACCTCTTGCTGCAGGGAGGTGTGGGACAAGTATGTGGAGTTTGAGTCCAATGTAGGGGATTTAGCCTCACTGCTCAAGGTGGAAAAGAAAAGAGCTGCTTCCATGAGAGGCAATTCTAAAATGGTAAAATTTCCCCTCAAACACCAGCAGCAATAAACATTAATTAACGCTGTAATTTACTTTTATACTAGGAATGTAATGCATTGTTTGTTGCGCGTGGTTTGCACATTAGAAGCATTATGCAGTGTGAGCATTTGAATAGCTGGTATTTAGAATCACGTAAACATTACGGTATGTTGGTCCATTGGTCGGTTGGTCGTTACATATGTGAAAATTCCGCATTCAGACGCCTAGGTGGGGCTCACTTCAGTGCATACATATTTGCAGAAGACCTGCAAGCTATAGTCATCCTAGCTCTATATGCACCACACCTACAGATACTTCTTTATTAACCCTCGGTGCATGCACCAGAGGGGTAATTACGGTACTGGGTGTGTGAGTATGTCTGTGTGTCCGGTCTGCTTAATCTTGCATCTCGCACTATGACACACGCAACAAAGAAGGGCACTAGATTATAAATTTTAAAAGCAGAGTTTTCTCTATCAGATAGAGCGTGTTTTGTGTACTGTGGCAGGGTCTTATTCTACAACTGACACGCGTGTGTTTTCGTCAACTGTGGTACTTTGCCAGCAGTCAAAGCCATGCCTGATAAAGGGAGCGTAATAACGATGGTCCAAGTTTGATTTGAAGTGAAGTTAATTTTCTCCAAAGGATCCATCACAGTGCCGTGAAGCCTTGCTCCTGGTGGACCGCTATAGTTACCTGGGGCTAATTCCTTGCTCAGAGACCGAACTCAAAGTCATGGAACATCCTGTAAGCACATTGATGATAACTCTATGCAAACCTACATCCACTGTGTCTGTATTGTGATCACAGTGTGCAGCAAAGGTAGACCTGGAGCCTGCTAGTGGTAGTAGTGGGCTACAGAGCACCAGAGCTAAGGACACAATTGCCGAAACATCTCTCTCTGGTAACATATCGAGACCAGACACCTCTCACATGCTCCCTTTCAGACCTTCAGCCACATCAGGTGTGCAAGAGTAAGACTGTTCAAACGCAGGGTCTTCAGTTCATAACTCTAAAGAAAGCTGTTTGTGCCAGCATGCCTTACATTACTCTTACTTTAGGAGTTGGAATGAATGCAGTTCCTGGTGGTCATTTCCCCCTGCCATCTGAAGTAGCTTACTTGATGTCCAGAATACCACCTCCTCAGTGCTTCAATGTGAGATCTCTTTCTTAACCCCTCCCATTTAACCAACAAAGTGATGCATTACTACTTGAGTACAAATCCCAGTCACTGACCTTCACAAAAGATACAAAATGCTCATATTTTCAGGGTCCTTTTGTCAACTTGAATGAGCTAGTACACCTCATAAAGACGTCGGATCTTCCAAGCTCCCTTGCCCCAGGTATATTATGAACACTGTTGTGGTGCAATGGATTACACTTGTGTGTAGGGCCCCCGGATCGTCCAGGGAAAAAAAGGAGAGCAGAGGGCCGAGATGACAGTGATGATGAAACACAGTCTAGTACAGCCCCTCCAACCAATGACATTTACAGGGCACGGCAGCAAAAACGGGCCCACACTGTAAATAGCAGTTAGAATGCAAACTCATAGATCAACCACCTTTTTTATTTTATTTTGTTTGGCCTTGTATTATGAAAATAGGTAATTTTGTGCTGTGCCAATGCTGGCATGCATATTCGACCACCATTATTGCAATGCAGTACTATTATGCCTCGCCACGTGTGTATATATGTTCTGCACTCCATGAAGAAGTGATCGGCTATCAATGCAAGCCCACCTAGAAGTGTGAATGCGGGATTTATCCTGTATTTTGTGACCCGCACTGCGTTCTAACTTCTAAACGGTAATGTTGTATGTGATTCCACATAATTATGTGTGAAAGTACACATGCGAAAAATCAAACTGCTCACTTTGCTTGCCCAAAATGGTCATTTTCATTCTAGTACATTCAATCAGTGGCATGTACAACATGGTATAATGATCGAATGGCACGCTAGGGTGCTAGTGGTTCAGAAGCATCCGGTCCCAAGTCAAAGTTTTTGAAACGCTCCTCTGAGAAGAAAGTCGCACATACAGTTCTGCCTCCAAAGAATCTGCCATTCAAGTCAACCACCGCTACATTTGTAAATAAGAATAAAACAGTGCAACAAGATGAATCTTTTTACCTTTGATGGCAGACTCCAGTCGTGTAAACTGTACAAATATTCTCACAGCCTCTTTTTCGTCTACTCCATGAGGAATCTACAATAGCACACAGTAAAAGTGAATGTATTATACCTCAAGGGAGGTAAGAATTAAGAATTAGTATGGTGCGGATACCATGACATTACACAAGAGCAGGAACAAAGAAAGGCCTAATTTGAAGCTTTGGGAGTGGACTTAACTATGCTGTTATGGACGAATCTGTTATTATGGAAGGCTGAATAATAGAAATGCATGTTGAACTACCCAACATCTATGACACCATCGCTCATGTTCAGCTTTTTGTTTCCAAGGAGAAAATGAAATGCTCCACTGTGGGTGTCAGTGAATCAGCTGCTGTACTTCCTATACCAGTGGAAACTTTACCTCATAGACCAAGCAGCTGGCTACCTCCCCATACTTGGAGCATTCTTCAATCGTTTCAGGCTGCAGGTCCTCATCCACCTCTCCTGGTCCTACCATATTCTGCAACACCAGGGATATATAATTATGCATTTGACTATGGCAGTTACTACATTTGCAAACGTGCATTGCACGTGCCCTATTGCTCACACAATAACCCACTGATCACAGACAGTGTTTGTCTAGTTGTAGCAAGTAATGACTGTGCCAAGTGGTCTTCCTGATCCAATAGCTAATGCTAAAGTCGCTAAGAGACACGTTAAGACAGTGTTTGGCGTGCTGGTATCTCTTGACCTGTTCCAGTGCGAGAACAAATTGTTGGAAAATGTGCGTGAAGATGAGAAGTTGGAATGGCTCATGGTTAAGTTCGGCTGGAACGTTGTCTCATCAGTAGCTGAGTATATCATACCTCGTTAATGGAGTCGCAGCGAAATATCTTTGCGAAGTTTATCCGGTTATCTCTACGTACCAGGAGATTTTATAATGTCAACCAGCACTAAGCTTAGTGTAGGTGACAGACACAACTTCTTTGTCAAGAAGGATAATTGTGCAGTGATTGTGAATAATTGGTGAGTGAAGCAATCCTACCTAGTCATCTGGTTTTGCTCTTTAGTGATGGGCAGTTGGGCACTGCACGTACCGAATGTTCTACATGAGTCTACATCCATTTTAAAAATAGAACAGCATCAACTTCTTGCCCTAGCTCGTCAATTATGCGTGGCATTCCTTGTAGTTACAAGTAAATCAAAAAGATATTATGTATATGCAACCACGGAGTTCATGTGCACAAAGAAATTTGATGCAAGTGCCCAAACAACAAAACATCACCTTCAACGATAAAAATACTTTTACAAACTAATCTGCCCCACCACACCCTTCTCACCATACTATCTTATATAACATTGTCTCTGCTCATATGCTGTACATTATTGCTGCACCCTCTATTGTTCTGCTAACGATGCTGTACATATTGCTGACACCTCTCTCTTATACCATGTGTATAATTATGTCTGTTCCTTCTATGCTGTAAATGTTGCCGAAAAGTTTTTATCAAGTGTGCAGGCCCACCCACTTGATCATCATAGTATAGCAGTATTCCTTCCTGTCTGTTACTCTACATCTCACCTCTCGAATGTCTGTTCGTCTCACAAACAACCAAACCTCCAATTGCAGGACCATTAACCAATGCATGCACACCTCTTAGGCACCACATAAGCCCCATGATATTATTATTAATGCATAATGCACAACTTCCGCCGAGTGTTTGCACTTTAGTGCTTTTTCATTGTGGATTGTGAGCATTTCAAAGATGATTTTGATCATTTTGGCATTTTTCATTATGATTATTTTAGAGGATTGAAAGTGTTCTGAGGGATTGTGAGCCAATACGAGAATTGTGAGCATTCTAGAATGTTGTGAGCACTTTTAGGATTGCAAGCGTTTTGATAGATTGTGCAGCATCTTGAAGGATTGTGAGCACATTAGGCAACCTCCCATAAAGGACCTTCCACGATCTAGTAAACCACACCAAAATATGCCGGTTTCATCCATATTCCATTCATTTTCTTTCACATACCCTTGAACAATTAAAATTACCATAGTTGTAATACAAGTACTGTAATACTACTTCAAGAAGTGGACGTTTCTCGATTCCGGGCAGCAGACAAAATACACGCTCCCAAAAGTGCCTTTCCATAAAAACGGATACCAGCACACCTCACCTCTAAATCATGTGTGCAGATGCACACCATACGGCCACTCTCGCGCGGGCGCATGTTCGTTCACGCGCACACACTCTGCCGTATAAACGGTGCATGGCCTACCGCCTACATAGCTACAGTACAAATGAAAAGCACTACATCAGTGCAAACCCTCGGCGAACTGCGCATGCACGGTACTGCTAATTGATGGGCTGGGCTATTTCGTGGTGGTCTCCCGCTAGAAGTATAGCTTGCGGAGTCTGACACGGGCTAGCTACAGTAGTAGATAGCATGCGGGAGTTGATACACGCCCTTCGTTGTGACTTCTTGTGCCTACACATTAGCCGTACAATGCCGGAAGCGCTCTAACTTTGCAACGGAGCATTTTCAGAGAAAACCGCTCGAACTTTCTGACCTTCATCGCCCGTTAAGTAGGTGGTATTGTGTGTGAGATGAACAGACATTCGAGAGGTGAGATGTAGTGTAACAGACAGACAGACGGACAGACCCAACTACTGTTATTCATCACTGGAAGAAGTCATCAAACATTTACAGAAGAATCCTGGAACATCTGCCGGCTCTTGGGGAGAAATGTTGATGTGAAAATACACAGATTGGCCATATCCTCAAGAATAAGGAGTCTCAATTATCTCAATACCAGGCTAGTATATACCTCTGGAAGTAGAATAAACTCAAGTATATCTCATGCATTAGAGTATGTTGAAACCAATGATGCGCTCTATAAATGGTTCGCCCTTGCCTGTTTATCCTGGAGGGCTGGAGTTGATGGCAAAGGGAAAAAATGTCAAAAGCTCATGGGGATTGGTAGAAAATTTGAAGAAGAGGTACAATGTGAAACAGCTGGGAATTTGTGGTGAGTCAAGTGATGTGCAGTGGAATCCTGGAAGGAAAGGATCCCTGAGCTTGTTCAAGGAGATGTATGGAATATGGATGAAACCGGTTTTGGTGTATTTTACCAGATCGCGGGTTTGGCTAGAAGAGTAGTAGCTGTAAGTGAGGGAGAAAAAAAACGATTCTTCGTGACAGCATCAGGTGAAAAAGAAAAGCCGGTTGTGATCTGGAAGTCCGACAACCCAAAATGTTTGCATAAAGCTAGTTTTCCTGTTTCCTATTACAACAACTTTGATGAATGGCAATATGCTAGAAGCAATATTGATCAAACTGAATCACCACCTGTCCAGCTCAAATAAAATATTTTTTTGCTGTTTATGGAAAATGTAGGCTGTCACCCAGATGAAATAGTTTCCAAAATTTGCTTTCTTCTAGCAAACACCACCTCAACTATACAGCCTTTGGACCTTGGTATAATCCAAAATTTTAAGGTCGATTATCGCCGATATTCGTACGTTGTCTCTAAAACTGATGAGTGTGAGTCAGCTTCCAATGTTGTAAAATCAGCCAACATAATTAACCATTAGAGGGGTTGCAATGACTTGGTCCCAAGTAAAAGCTGACACCATAATCAGAAAGGCTTGCTAACCCTCGCTGCGCGCAGTTCAAAGGACGCGGAGATGAAGTCATGCGTATTGGACACTAAAATTGACAAGATTGTCGATCTGAAGCACGTGTCAGCTAGACAAACAACTACATGACTACTTTACTAACTAACAATAATCACCACATGCATAAAATTCACTTTTCACTATCGCCAGCAAAATACAATCAACCTCCAACATAGGAACAAGTTCCAAAGAAATGATAAAAGGCCCGTTCCAAAATGTCGTTTGTTCTGAGGTTCCAATGTAGAATTGTGTTGAGGGGTTGAGAGCTATGGATTGTGAGCTACAGGGTTTCGAAGCATTGTGAGCACTTTTACAGCATTTTGAGGACATGAGCGTTTTGCGGAATTGTAAGTGTTGTTATAGGACAGGATTGTGAGCATGGCGGTATTGGGAGCATTTCTGAGAATTAGGGGAGACAATCGTTAGGTATCATGTAAGATGGCTAGTGTGAGACAGATGATTGAAGTTATCAATGGGCACCCTACAAAGTTAAAAATTGTTCAATGCCATCCCCCACTTCCTGGAAGGCATAGTACCCTTACAACCCAGCCTGTAAACAGCAGTGGGGCAAAACCAGACCGTGAGAAAATAGCACAAGTGACTCATAAACACAATTCGCAAATCGGGCACCCTATCAGATTAAAATAAAGGGCACAAAACAACCCAGCACATATTAAAGTGGTTACTCCTTGCTTCTAGCTGCACTATATTATAATGTAGAGATACACAATATGCAATGAGGGAATAGACCAACCTTCAGCAGTACAACTCTGGTTGGCTTTCTCATGACATCAGTAAGAGAATGGGCCCTTTTCTTCTCTTCTGCCAACTGTTGCTCTAATTGAATAGAAGCCATCACCCAGTCATAGAACCAATATATATTCATGTACCTCTCTCAGCTGCCACATTGATAATCTTTCCCCCTCGTTTGCTTGTCTTCTCGACAGCCAGAGCAGTGCTCATCCCCTGCGACTGTCGGCCTAGACCTTCCCGTTCACCACTTTCTCACTTAGTGCTCATGAGAAAATAAATATTCCTTACTTACCTTGACCTTCCTTCCAGCCATATTTCGACATGATATTGGAGGCTACGGCTGCACTGTATGCATACAAGTGATGATTAATGTAGTTACATTGAGACAACTGACATCTTTGGTCGAGCAAATGGTCCTGTTTTTTCAGCCTTCTTCTTGCTGAGCTCCTCAAGAGCGGAGTGAACAACTATAATAACATACACACAGAAGAGTGGGGGAGATTAATGCATAAGTACTTCTGTGTAAACTCACCGTCCCTTTCTTCATTTTTGTCTGGGGGTTTGTTCGAGTCAAAACTAAGGGACGACGGAGGTGGAATAGCGGCAGTATCTGAGAATAAGCAACAAATACTTCAGTGATTTGGAAGTTAAAACGTTTAATCAACTACCTTTCCTGCGTACCCGTCGCCTGGACCTCTCCTCACTGTCACTGTCGCTGCCGCTGCTGCTGCCACGAGACCTCCTCCTAGTGGAACGCCGCTCAATGTGGTGGTCACTGCGATGATCTGACCTCCTCCTCCGCTGTAACAAAAACACCAGTTTCAGAGGCACACTAAATGTGCTTGCAGGAAAATAGTAGTTGTAGTGGTAGCAACAAGCACTCAAAGCACAACCTTTGCAATAGGTGACAAGGTACAACATTCAAATCATCCTTGGACGTGCACCAAGACAACGAACACATTACAGATTGGCTACAATTCAACAGTATAGTACACATTACAGGACCAGCAGAAGACTGGATCAATCTATGAAGACACGAGGTTACGTTCAACTGCACATCTATTATCATATATTTATCAGTAAGCAATGATGACAGAGTGCGTACAGGCACACTAGCTTAAATGCATCAAATAGCACACTATTCACCAAACTGAGTTATGAACTTAGTATATACCTCACTATCTCTACCCCTCTCTTCTGCTTTCTTCTGCTTCATGATCATCTCATAATTGTTTGGGACCATAGGATCGTACTCATTTTGGATCTTGCCAGCAAGATCATCTTCCCAGAGCTCCGTTGGACCTGTAGGCTCGGCTGGGATCTTTGTTACGACGACTGTTTTAGCAAGTAGAGACTGCTGGAGGGAGATACAAATCCACAGTACAACATAGAACATCACAGTAGCATCAATTTATATCCAGGCTCTTCATCACACAACTGAAATTGATGTGCTTGAGGTTTGAATTGTGATACTTTAGGTGGAGGGAGCAACATAGATAGTACAGATCAACACACTTCTACTTGAACTTGTTCACCATCCCCCACAATGGTGTGTTTGATGGCGACATTGGTGCCTCAGTCAACAACTACACACTATTTAGCGGGGGAAGAAGGCAAGACTTTCAGTGCCTTCAGTGCCTCATAAGAGGATGGATTGCCCAGTAAGTGTAACCTTGTCCCCCATTAAGTGCACCCCTGTTGCCTGTGTGCTTTTTTTATGGTGAAGTAGTAAAGGGTATTAAATATGGAAATTAGGGTGCACTGGTGTATAATGTAGCCACCCAGCAAACAATGAGACAATTCAGAAGGAAATTGAAAGGTTAACCATGTCAAATGCAACTTTGAAGGTGAAACTTACATGGTTCATGTCAAATTTTAGCATTAAACCTTCAACATCAAATGCAAGTTTGAGTGTCAAGCTCAAAATGTGAGGTCAAAAGTCTTTCCCATTACTTTGCTAGGTGACATTACGTATGGAGCACTCTGTGTACACGTGTCTGAGTGGTGTCTCTTCAGGGGGTTGTGGTGAAATAGTGGCAAGGGTTACATTATGAACCTCCACACGTAGGGCACTATCAGACAGGTATACAGAATTGAATCCCCTCCCAGATTGAGCCAGAGCATCAATGTGCAGGGAGCAAGCTTTGGTTTGGTGCCGACGACAGGAAGATTACTCAGAAGAAGTCAAGAGAGAAATGCAGCAGGTGGTTACAGCTGATGGTTACTTCTCCTTGGTGCAAGCAATCTGTTCTTCCCTCCCCATGGAAGAGCAAACACTTGACACTGCAAGAACCATAATACTATTGTTCATCTTGGACACCTTTTAAGCACTGCTGAAATGGGCGGAGAAATAAGATGTTGACATACAACAGCTACATAGTAAAACAAGACTTCCGACAATAAGGGCAATAACCATTTTCTACATTTCCACCAGGGGGTTGTGTGTGCTGTCAATAGTTGACCTGACCCACTGCTCAGGAGTTACGAGAGCTGTGAAGTGCCCAACAGTCGAGACAGTGGTCAGAACAACCAAGCAAGACAAGACGCTGTTATGATGGATCTGACCAACTGTTTAACACACTGCTGCTCAACCTCATGGAGCCTGCTCCACAAGTCATTCACATCAACAACCCTACAACTTTGTGATGAGGGAGCTATGGTGATTATCAATGAGATAGATGTATCAGTCAGCTAAGGGCAAGTATGTCTGATACTCAGAGGCCCTGACCAATGCAGTAGACCAGTGTTGGTGCTTCATAGCTAATGCTATGGACCAGTCCTTGATCCAGACAGGGGCGTACTTTTGCCTCCAAGCTGAGTCAGCTAAAAAAGCACTTTCGCCGCTTTCTCCAAGGCATAAACAGGCGGACAGGTCCAGTTTGCCATTTTCAGAGCGCATGAATGAATTTTCATCCATTTTCAGCAGTGGTGAGTGGAAGCAGCATGCCTAGCAACTGGTTGATGCCACTTTTGCCTGATACACCTTAGCAACTCACCTGTCCGGAGGAAGGGTTGGAAACTTCACGAGAAGGCTGTACTTTGGGTCCTCTCTGAAAAAAAGGAATACAACAGCATTTCAGTTGGCACTCGCTGTTTCATAGTCACCTGTTGGGTTGCCTTCATAGCTTTTTTGTTACGTTGCATCTGTGTCACCATCAGCTTTAAACTCATCGACCATCCGCCTCCAGCTACACAAACACATAGCTGTCTACGAAGGTATAATAGCTAAACTCTTACATTCCGGCACAGCAGGAGAATCGGAGTTCTCCTCCATGGGAGATATCTCAGGTATGGGTGCCGTCTCAACCTCCAGGCCGTCATACAAAGACATGTTCGCCGTCTCGTGGTGTTGTGGTGCGCTTCAAAAAGAAGCGCGACAGTCAATGACCTTTGACCTTCATGCCAGATCTTTGCGGTCTACCTCCAGCAATCAACGGCGCTGGCCTGCTCCCCTCGCCATGCAAACCCTGGATAGCCTCAGCCACTTTCCACCTATTATCTGTCCCAGAAGGTCCTACTCAGACAGTGTTCAACCTCCCTCCATATCAACTAGAGAACAGTCACCAGAGCAGTCACTGTCCAACTCCTCTGAAGCCCTGTAGCCTCCGCCTGCATCTGTACTCCCCTACTCTTGTTTTAGCGGCTTCACCTCCCTCTTCCATCGGCTACCTCCTGTACATTAGATCAACGCACCAACCCATTGCAACTTCTCTCAGATCAGCACCCATGCCCCCCTCAATCCCACTCCTTTCTCTCACCTGTGTCTCTCTCTAGCACCTTCCTACTCCAGTATTCCTAATCGACCTCGTACTCATCCTCCTATCCCCAACCCCACACCCCATGATTCATCTCATGATGCACCACTTGATCCCAATTGTGACTCACTCCATCTACGTTAAGTAATATCTGCGGTCACAAGTCAAGTCTGCATCTCATCCACTGGCTACTTTATGAAAGTTTTCTTTCTTTTTCCAAACATTGACTCCATGCCTATGATTATCACCTGTTTCCCAAATATAATACCAAGACTTCCATTTTATTGCCATGTCCCCTCCACACCAAGAAGACCCGCTTATCTGTGCCCCACATATCATCAGAGGCCACGGTGGAGTTGCTCTAGGCCGGCACAGACGAGTCAACCATTCTACCCCATTGATATCATGTCAGTGATTGAGCTTCTCCCTCGGGTCTATCTATATTTTCACCATTTATCTCCCCTCTCATACTAACTCACAGTCATTTTCCGCGAGTCCCTGGATCAACTTGCATCTTCTCCCTCCCAATATAATAATCCTGGGGGATCCGGACTTCAACTCATATCCCAGGCACCCCTCGCTCATGGTCCCCTCCCTATATACAACACCCATCAGCAGTCAGAGATGAATTCTTCATCAGGACCCTGTCCTGAAAGCAGGAGTTGCAAATCTCACTACCCCTCCTGGGTTAGGGCCAGAAGACCCCACAGTCAAGACAACCCTCTCAGAATGACCTACAAATCAGCAATTCTCTTGATACCAACCTCAATCCCTGGAGATTATTCATTTCTGTTCAGAACACACCACCTCCCACAGTACCCATCCAGTCACTGCCCGCAACTCATCGATAGCACATACTCACTACGACAATAAAAACATCACGGAAGACTGGGTCCGCTACTTCGAGCACCCCCTCCCACCAACCATGCCTCCCAATTAAGTGCACACTGCTTTCATCCTCCAAGAAACTATACTGTCAGTCCAGGAGAGAAAGAAGGTGACCTTTGTGGCTTTATGTGTGCTATTATAAATTGTTTGCTGTGCAGTGTAGCAATCATCATAATAATTATCATTGATAAAAGCATCATTGATAAAAGCAGCAGCAATTGTTGCAAATTGAGTGTAATATCTAGTGTGAGTTTCTTTGTCATATCTTCGTTCCAAATGGCAAATCCCACAGCTTTGATGAAACACCATATCCTGTAGAAACATTGTTGCCACATAAAGTTTTGAAAACTACATCTAAAGCCACCGAATTATGACAATTGAACTGCTCACCAATTAGTAGCTATCGCCATTGTTTTATGTGATGATATCCTACTAGTACCAACTCAAAGTCACATGTACACTAGCTTGGATTTCGAATTCGTTGCACAGTACATTGACTGTATATACCTCTAAATGAAATTTCTAGAAAGAGAGTACTGTTTACTATCACTAAGTACGGTAGTACTTAGCACAAGTGGAAAATCATTTCTTCAAAATGAAGGGGGATATAGGGATGGCTTGAAGCACCAAAAAGGAAGAAACAAGGGGTCGTTACTCACCAAATATGCACAAAGCCACATGGCACCATCCCTATATCTTTGTCTCATATTAGACTTTGCTGATGAACAATAAAACAAAGGTATAGGGATGGTGTCATGTGGCTTTGTGCATATTTGGTGTGTAATGACCCCTTGTTTCTTCCTTTTTGGTGCTTCAAGCCATCCCTATATCCCCCTTCATTTTGAAGAAAAAAATTTTCCACTTGTTTCCACCGTTTTTAATGGCTTATGACAACACTGCATTTTCAGTCACTCTGATGTTCATGGGATGTTGTAGAGATAACTGTTGAAAGCAGAAGCTAATGGGCTGCTCTTACCTGAAGCAGGGTGTATGCGTAGTGTCTCCAACAAGGACGCGATTAGGTTGTGGCACATATGGTGGTGGTTTCATTGGGCAGGCTTCAGAAATCAGACTACAATGATAGCTATAACCTGGGGGACAAAGAATGAAGGTGCCTGGAAAGGCACGCGTAACACGGCGCAGATTGCCAAGTTGCTCCTCATGCAGATCAACAGCAAAACGCAAGCTAGCCACTTACAAATGTGTACACTGACTTACAGAAGGCACTGGAGGATGAGAGTAGTTAACCCTCGGCGCACATGCGCAGCGAAGGTTACAGTAGTCGTTCTGTCTGTCTGTCTGTCTGTCCGCGCGAGTTCTTGCACTACGGGCTACAAGGCGGCCAATGAGTGGCACCAACGGGTTGTGAACAACGAGAAGATGGATATTAATGTGGCGATTTTCCTGAAACGACTGTGTTCCAGAGATATAGAGGCGTGAAAACAAGTGAAAAAACGTACGCCAGCGATCCATCGCGCACGCGCGTATGTGGGTGTATACCGTTTGCCGGAGCATCAGACGCGAGAGCGATCCATCGCACACGTGCGTATGTTGCCGTAGCTATCGCATGCGCATCTGCGAGATGCCACGTAGTTGACCTTGGACGAGCAAGCGGTTCTTGAGTTTCTCTCCTCTGTCAGTGTTGATCTCTGTTCTCGATGGACAACAAACCATGCAAGGGATGTCCGCAATGTAGCACAGCAGTTCACGTTAGACGAGCAGTTTGTGGATGCGGCCACGCCTTCCCATCTAAGCGTAAAGCCAAGTCTGGCAATATATCCCAAGCAACGAAGCACAGTAGAATGCAAAAAGCGAATGTGAGAGCCTTTGAGTGTGGTATACATAGTCACTATGGAGTAGTGCTATGTTTCTATGTATATCACTTGACCAATTTTATATTTAATTCGGTATTACCATCCATCCTATACAGGCTATCCATCAAATATCTCATACATGACAGGATTAAAGAAGAACTCTCATTTCTACGTCGAAGGATCCCTCTGAGCTATATATTATCAAAGCACAGACACTCCATCCTGTCATGTTCAATGCACAATAATGCTCCTCTCATAGCTGAACTGTGTTACTGCATACTTGCAACAACATGTCATTTGGTTACTCTGATAAGCACTAATGAACGCAGATACCCTTCATCCAATCTGTTCATCTTATATTCAATTTTGTAGTTACAGTGGAACCTCATTAATACGAACACTGTTAAGCGAAATAACTTTTTGATACGAACCACTTTGAAATAGCCCACCTAGCTTACAAAACCACAAACGTGCGCATTTTGAGCCGAGGGTTTGCACTTTAGTGCTTTTCATTAACCCTCGGCGCGCATGCGCAGCGAGGGTTACTGTAGTTGGGTTTGTCTGTCTGTCTGTCTGTCTGTCTATTACTTTCAATCTCACTTCTCGAGTGTGTGTTCATCTCACAAAGGATACCATCTACCCAACAGGCGGCGAAGGTCAGAAAATATGTGGGGTTTTCTGTGAAAATGCTCCGTTGCAGAGCTAGAGCGCTTCCAGCATCTCGCGTGCTATCTACTATTGTAGCTAGCCCGTGTCAGACTCTCTGCGAGCTACTTCGCCGAGGGTTTGCACTTTAGTGCTTTCATTTTCTCTGCAGGACAAAATGCGCGTACACCGCATTGGAAACGCCCTCCTCGGCGCATGCGGCTCACTGATGCTGAGTTAGCAGCAAATGGCGTTGTTCAGTGACTACCGAGGAAGAGCTCAACGATCTACCGTAGTGACTTGCGGTAAGAAACAAACGATCGCTTGATATGCGTGCACACCTCCGGCAAATTCGGAGACGTTCTGTGAAAAAAAATCAATGCTTAAAGTGTTTCCGGTAAGGAGCTAGCGGGTCTGAAGAAGAAGAAGATGATGAAGAATATGATGATTATGATGACACGAAAATCGCGAAATTGCGTATGAGCGAATTCTCGCGTGGATGACCGAAGGTGCGTATGAGGTCTTGGGGGACATGTATAGGTAGATATGGGCCCGTAGACTATTGCTAGTATGTTTTGAAGGCCTAGGGAGTGATTCTCGCCGAGTTTTTAGTTGTTTTGTACGTGGATCACGTGAGATTTCACCAGTGTCATCCCTATATAGAGAGTCTACCGACTCTCTAATATAGGGATGACACAGGTTGTCCTGAATTATGTCCATACATTTGAGATTTTCATGTTTCACTTTATATTTCAATCAGATCCAACTTTTGACACATCAGACTAATTTGTATCGTCACAAAGAGCATGTATCCAAGAAATAGCTCAAAGCACGAGTGATCTCTATCGTACGATGTGCAGCTATGACTCGTTTCCTATGCACGTAAGACTGGTAGCAAATGCCCTCTCTGACAGGTCCTCAGTTTTGAATCGTGACTGTGTTTACTTCAATGTTCGCTCAACTAACCGGTTTTACAATGCTGCTTTCCTTACAGAATTCATTTGCCAGTCTTCACACTACACTATTCAAAACTCACGCCATGAGTAAGAGTGGCGACCATATAGGGCTTGTGTGGAGTAAAATTTACATGAGCAAGAAATGTCAGTTTGAAGATGTAACAATCATCCCATTGTACTACTGCATCACATGCCCAGGTCATCCCTGTCTTGTCTCTCTGCTTTTTATGGCATCCCTATATTCCACACTTTTTAAATTATGTATTTACTTGTAAACATAGCAAGAGCAAGTACCCTATTGGCTATTGCTAACAACAAACAGCTACGTAAAGCTCTGGTTCCCTTTACACACACACACATGGCGTTATAATGGAAGGTTGTTCACCTCGATCAGGATTGACATAGTGGTGTGCCACATGGTAAGACTTGAGACTAGCCAGGTATGAGCCTGGTGGAGGTGATCCGTGGTGAAGGTAATAGTGCACCATCTCATAGGTAACATATCCGAGAACACCTCCGGCAAACAAAGCTCTTAGCTCTGCCAGTGGGGGGACTTGCAATTGAGCACACGCCATGTATATCAATAACATAACTATGCTGGCTGGTAGGGGAGGGAACACAAGACGTCTGTGGTCAAAAGGAACCTATAGAGCAAAAATGAATATTGTATCAAGTATACTACATATGTCACCTATGGCTATACCTTGTGGTGCTGACCATGCATGATGAAGTGAAACTGGAGAGAGAAACCAGCCGAGTACCAAGGCTCCATGTGGAAGATAAAACGATGCAAAAAGTACTCTATCAGTGTCCAAATCAGAAACCCAAAGGGTAGCAGTGAAATAACCCTTGTCCAGCTCAGTGGTTGGGGAATTGGGGTCCAGGGAAGCATACAGGTAGTGTGTGTGGTGGCCAGCCACATCATGAAGACACTGAAGGGGATCCATAACAGAGGAACCAGCCACCATGGACACATGGAGCACAGCTCCATGAGGTCCGAGTGGAAGAGTCTGAGTTGGCAGTGGACAGGGGCGTGGACCCAGTACTTGTAGTGCTCCCCTAACTTGGCCACCTGCGACAGTACAGGCTGGCTCCAGTCAATAATGTCCTGTGGTAAATGAACACTGAAGTGCAAACCTTTCCTCTAAAGGTGTACAACTGTACATGTACATAATATAGCAGAGTGTACATAAATACTTTCTGTACTGCTGCCACTCATTGTCGTCCGAACATATCACATGGTTGTGGTGGGTAGTTATGGGTGGTTGCCTAGGTGAAGTATGAAACATTCAACACTACACAATAGTCAGGACTTACAGCTTGAAAATACAAAAAAGTCATGCTACTGAGTAACCAACAGTACAGATGGAGATTAAGAGTGGCACACCAGGCAACAATATAGGGATTGTGTGATGGAGTCGGGGTGTCAGGGTGTTCATTAACCATGCTTCACGTATCCCATCCCTATCTTGTCTCCCTTTCTTTTTATACCATCCCTATATGCCTTTTTTTTAAATTCGGAGGAATTTTAATTTACTTGTACAAACTTTCGTTCACGTAGCTCTAACCAATTGTGAGTTACACTGATACATGTAGTATGCTCATTAAAATGTATTGCCTGGGGCAATTTTGTTGTTGTTTACAAACAAATAAGTATGACCAGTCTCTTCGGGTGACAGATATCTACATTCTTACAAATTTCATTACTGTATGTTATTTAGTTTTTGAGTTATGAGAGTTCAATCTGAAGAAGAGAAGAAGGAGAAGAAGATGATGAACAAAAAATCCCTATCATAGCCCCATACATCTACGATGTTAGGTACCATGCCCATGTACTACAATAAGCGTATCTAAAAAACCAGGAAGATACTCAAATGAAACTTTGCACAGAGATTGGAATCCATGACAGGTCGTGCAAGAGCATTTTAATTTGTATGCAAACAATGTTGTTTACATGTAAATAAAAAAAATAAAAAAATAGCCCCAGGCCATACATTATGATAGAGACTAATAAAGTGTGCTAAGTAGGTAAAGCAAATGCCTAGAGTGATATAACTTTGTACACATGTGCAACCCATCATTAGTATCAAAATGTAAACATTACAAGTTTGTAAACAACAACAAACAGCCTCAGGCAATAAAAAAGTGTTTGTACCTATAACTTGCTTATGGTGGATCCTATAACAATGAAACTTAGGATGTACCATGATAAGAGTTCATCGAAACGAAGATTACAATTTTGTAAACAACAACAAACAGCCTCAGACAATTAAATGCTGTTTTTCCTATAACTTGCTTATGCTGGGTCCTCTAACAATGAAACCTTGTACACTTATGTACTTTAGTGGTGAAATAAACATGTAGACGCCGACAAAGAGTCTGAGGCAAAAAATACATGCTACTTTTTTATGCCCTAATGCATGTTCATGCCGTAAAAAAAGAAAGAAGACAAGTAAATAAAAAATTCTTCGAATTAAAAAAGTGTGGAATACAGGGATGCCATAAAAAGCAAGGAGACAAGACAGGGATGACCTAGTGCATGGGTGATGGTTACATAATTATTCAAATTGCTCGTGTAAAGTTTCTTCCACACAAGCCCTATATTGTCGCCACTTTTCCCACATGTTTAGTGTGAGGAAAATCGTAAAGGGATTCTCTGGAGCGCCACGAACACAGCATTGTAAAACGCATCGTTAGTTGAGTGAACATGGAAGTCTTAGGCTGCATACAATGCACTCACACCCAAAAACCGAGGAGCTGTCAGAGAGGGCAACACCTGTGCATTACGTGCTTAGGAAATGAGTCATTCTATGAGGGAGCATAGTCATGCTTCGCGACAAAATAGGGCTTTTTAATCCGAAGAAGTTTTTTATTTACATGTTATTATTACATTTGAGGTTTATGAACTGACCAGTCATACTTACCTCCTCCTTCCATTTCTTGTAATTTTCAGACCACTCAAAAGCCTGTTGTGGTACAAGCAATGTCTTCTCATCTAATGTTAGTATATACATGCCACACACAATGTAAAGTAACTAGGTTGATTGAGTTGAGTCTAAGAGCCTCAAAAACCCTGTTGCATGCATCCACATCAACCACTATTAGAGACCCAGCCACAGTACACATGAAGGTATTAGACCATGTGATGCCAAGAGAAAAAAGATGTGGAGCTCTGGACAGCTTTTTCGGGCTTGTTGGCCCATCAGCAGAGCATGCCCTAACCCTCTCTCTCTGGCATCACGCGTTTATAAAGGCTACAGGAGCGCAGCACTTGCGGTTCTGAACTAATGAGATTCATCCCGTCTGATTTCCGATGACCCCCACCTTTTACATCCTCCACTCAAGCAAGGAGTTAGGGCTACGTAATAGCTCCACCTAGCTCACTTGTGTTTCTCCTTCCACTCCTTGCAAGACCCCGATGCAGCACTGGTCTAGAATCTTGTACGCCGAGCGGCTGTGGCGATGAAGATTGGGTGAGCGGATTAAATGACTGACGTCCTTCCCGAGGTGTCCCTCCAACACGTCCAGTCCGCCCGGGTGAGCGTGAACAAATCCAGTAACATCACAAACGCGACCGTCCACTACCACCCACGCATCTTGTAGAGAATTGTGCTTGGATACTTCCTCACAGCTTATAACTTTAGCCATTTCCTATAGCTAACTAGGCAGTTCTGTTCTGAAGGGGCGCAGGCGAGGGCGCAGGTTTACACAGTACCACAGCACCAGAGAGCCACTGTGTCCTCGACTAGTCATGCGGGCCAGCCCGCGAAACACCACCACCGCATGACGCGCACGAAAGCGGCCCACACGGGGGTGGCTGCGCATAGACAATGATGCAGTGTCTGTGTTGCAATGTGAAGGTGGTTGAAATGGTGATAGGCAAATGCAGGGTAATTTTTGTGAACGACCTGCACCTTGGAACCCCTGAAGTGGTATATACAGGCTCGGCAAGAGTGTAGCGAATGCCACCGAATGGATGGAGGAGGGATCTATATTATACAATACCACACGTGGGAAGTTTCCAATTCAATTCCAGAGATTTGCCCAGGAGAATGTTGCAGGTTGAGAAGAAAAGCCGATCTTTATTTGCCACATTATCAGAGACACGTCCTGACCAAGAGTTTGTTTGTAGGAGCATGCATGCTTTGACACTTATTTGTATTTGTGAGATGCGTGTCTGCCGCTGCTGCATAATACAGCCTATAGCAGTTGCAGCACTTGTGAATGCCTGCAGGAAGCACTGATCTTGATTCCTGTGTTCGCATGGCATTGAACAACTATTGGCTTGATGTGTGTGTGCTTCCATCTTTTCTTTAAAATTACTTCTTCACTTCTCAAACTTGCTAAACTTGGTGCGCATGTGTATTACATCGTTTCCATGACGACCACAGCAACAAATAGCCTCAGGCACTTTTATTAATTACTTCTTCTCTCCTCAAACTTGCTAACGGCAGCACACATGGAGATGAAACATGGTATGCATATTATTTCCATGACGACAACAGGCATTTTTCTCTATTACTAATTCCACAGAGATAATACGTAGTAGTATAATAAAAATGAGTGGAGACAAATAAATTAAAAATCCTGCGAATTTAAAAAAGAGGCATATAGGGATCATATAAAAAGAAAGGGAGACAAGATAGGGATGGGATACATGAAGCATGGTTAATGAACAGATTTGAGTACGCTGACATCCCCAACCCCATCCTATATTGTTCCTTATGTTTCACCATTACAATACTCAGAACTTACAATGCACTACTGAGTAACCAACACCCTTATAGAGTCCAAGTGGAATTTAATTAAAGGGAATGTGGCAGTATGAATGTTACTAAAAACAACAGGGACATGGTGAAAGAATGCTTGCTTTTAGTAACCTTTAGCTCCTATAAGAGTAGCACACCAGGCAACAATAATAGGGATTGTGTGATGGGGTTGGGGATGTCAGCGTACTCAAATCTGTTCATTCACCATGCTTCATGTATCCCATCCCTATCTTGTCCCCCTTTCTTCCATCCCCCTATGCCTCTTTTTATTGCGGCCAATCAACGTCACGTGCATCCGTAGTCCGATGCGATTCCGCGCGCGCGCGATATTACTATAGCGCTAGGCGGGGCCTCGTATGCTAGACGAGCGGTTCGGATACTACGGATACTACGGATATGACTCTTTGCGACCAGGTTGGGCGTCAATAGCTCCCAGACGCCTGTGGGTGGAGCGGCTGGGTAGAGACAAACATCGCGCATCTCAGCCAGCAGCAGCGACACATAGTATTGACAGTGACTGGCAACTCCGACTACACAGATGAATACAGGTTGGTGTGGGTGTATGTATGTTGCACAACCGAGTCCGGCTTTTCTTCTGGCAGTGGTTCCGCGTAATTTCCGCCTTCTCGAGGAGTTGGAGGACGGGCAGAAAGGTGGCGGAGATGGCACCATTAGTTGGGGGTTAGTGGACGATGACGACATGTCACTTACCCACTGGAACGGCATGATAATTGGACCCCCAAGGGTAAAAGAATAAGTAATTCCTATTAACGCACACCATCTGACTGTTGAATACACCTATATAGAGTAGCTCATCAAAGGTCGGAAACCATGTAATTCGGACAGGCCTCCAGAGCGTACAAACAAGTCTCATTTATATCTAAGACGTAGTGTTGCAAATTACAATCCTTCATACCAAGTTTGGATCATTGACGCACTTTTATTGCCGAGTTATGCCGTCGAAAAGGTCGACTGCCGATAATATGTAACATCAGACGTTTTCATCTACCGACGGATGCCCTGCAAATCTCCCTTCGTCGCGAAGCTTTCTGGAATATAACAACATCCAGTAAAAGCGGAGTTCAAACCCTCCAACCTGCACTAAGAGGAGTCACCTTCACCTATAGTATTTCCACTTACTCTGAGTAGATTGCAGCTGCCTCGGCGATCTAAGATCGGACCACGTCTAGCCGCACGTACGCATCAAACTGACCCGCGTTTGGACTCCCTCCTTGCTTTGGAAGCTATGGGCGTAAGTGTTAACCCTTAGCCAGTCACGGGCACATGTACATGTATATGCCCAGAGCATCCAAAGTCCATAAGACTATAAGGCTATAATAAAGTGCGCGTCAATCCTCCAAACTTGAAACGAAGGATTATCATTTGCAACACTACATCCTAGATATAAATAACTAATCGTACACTCAGGAGGCCTTTATACATGGTGTCCGACCTTTGATGAGCTACTCTAATCTCTTGAGTGTCTTGATGACATTACCAGTCTGGTGATCATTCCACAACCACGCACAAGTTGATTTGGATTGGCTTAGCATACATGACACATACACAGCTGGTATGTTCATTGCATTGATAATTCACCCCCAGTAGAAGAGAATCTTCTCACGTGGGCAAACACCACGTAAGACAATCGTAGTGTTTTACCAAGGATATCCTTTTGATCTGTCAAACAAAAGTGTGTAATAGTGTGCTGGAAACTAGGAGTGGTAAAACTTAGCACTTGGGGCCAAGAGACAGTCCATATCTCACAAGGCATGGTTGTTTCCAGGAGAAAGATGCCTCTTTTTATGAGAACATGTTCACCGGTGTATAATGTACATACAGAATGGTATGGAACATGTATGGAACATGGAATGTAAATGTCATGATACAATTCCCCCTTGTTCACTCCAAATGTTTTTGGGTGTGGCATACAGGCACACTGGTAGCTATTACTGTCTGAACACTTTTTTCCCTGCTGTCAGACACCATTTGAGGGCCGTATATACAGTCTGAGGTTTGAGTGTGGTGCCACCTATCCTGATTTACCTCCAGTTGTCAGGTTCATCACAAGACTCAATATGAGAGGAATCAGTGGTTCAGGAGAGGTCAGTGTACATGATCGAATATTTTGTCCCTATCTATGTTGGCTTCATGTGTGATCATTAACACAGGTGGATCGAAGAACCTTTCATGCTCTTGCAAAATGGCAAAGGAGCTACACTATCAAAACTGTTCTCTCTGAACTAAAAAGGTTTGCGTATGATGTACAATAAGTCACTGTGAATTGCTAAATTTGGTGGCTGGCCCTACCTGGCCACACACTTAAACTTGGTAAGCAGGGTCCTGACTAAAGCAAGTGCAGCAGACACCTGACGATTTTGTTGCCTGATAGCTATAGTGTGACCAAGTGGACATCTAGCTATTTCTCACGACAAAACCACACACTAAGCTTTCACTGTTTAAGCTTCTACTTGCAATGATGTGTTTGTATTTCAGGGAAATGACAGCAAAGGAAAATTCTAAGCTACCTCAGCCTCCAGAGGGCACCACTTACTGACTGATGCTTCTGTATCATGTGTATTTTATTATATAGCATGTTTTTTTTGCTGATATCCATAATTATTATGGCGTGTGTGTGTAAATGATGCTGATGGAGCTTGAACATGACTTAGCTGTAGTGCGTGTCCATTTTGTAATGATGTGAAAACCTCTTATGCAATAGCATTATAGTGGCCTTTCACCTGTAACACCCAGGCCGCCACCCCGCCCTACGCCCTCAGTGTCATTGTTTGCTTCGATCCAAACATACACAATCTGTGCTATAGTCTCGTGCCCAGACACCCCCTCAAGAGAGGAAAAGGGTCTGGTGACTATGTGTTCTTTTGAGACACCAAATTAGGTCGCTAACGAAGCTCCGTGAATCCCGCGTGTCCACGAACGAAAACGGAACTTTCTGCGCATACACTCGAATCTGCGCATGCCCGAAAAACTGATGAGTCAGCAAAGTTATTCTGTCGAGGCAGAGACTGCAGGTTGAGTGGACCATGGATTCAATTGCCGGCTATGGTAGCAGCAGTGAGAGCGAAGATGAAGCAAGTAGTGACCAAAATAAAGATAGCCTCAGTCTGCAGACCTCATCAGTTAAGAAAACACGGATCAGTGTCGACAAGTTCGCCAACTCAAAATCCTCTTCCGTGGAAGCTAGCCCGGATTCGCCAACTGATCCGAAAGCCAGCTCTGAATTCGTAATTCAGCAGACCATAACAAGAAGTAGCAAAGTCGCTATATGCGCAACACCCATCAGTGGAGCTTATATTTCTAAGAGAAAGCGTATAAACACACCTTCACCTACAGACACAGAAAGTACCATGACACTTACTTCTGATGTGAAATCCTTACTGAGGGACAGTGACTGTCATGTAAAGCAAAAGAAGTTGGCTAGTTCACTTCCCAAGTACTGTGAAAAGTTACCGAAAGAGCACTCCAAACCAGTTGTGTCTCTGCGTTGGCATGGGAGTAACAGCTCTCTGCTTCTCTCCTGTTCTCTGGATGGTAGCAGCAGACTGTGGGATGGTGTCAATAAGAAATCAATCCAGAGGTTATCACTGCATGGCGGAGTAGCCATAAGTTGTGGAATGTGGGTAGCAGACAACACGATTGCTACAGGAGGGTACGACAACCGTGCACTGTTGGCAGATGTAGAGAAGAGCAAGGTAATCACTTCATTTAGCCACCAGGACTATGTGTCTGCACTGCAAGTCCATCCTGGAGACAATAACCTTGTGTTCACCGGAGACTATGGTGCCAACATATTCAGCTGGGACCTGCGCACTGGGAAGACTGTGCAGCAGTACAGAGGTGCAGGAGGAAGGATCCTGGACATGGCTATCCTACAGTCAGGGAATGAACTGCTAGCCTCTTCTGATATTGTACGGAAGAATGCCAGTAGCCAGTCCCTGAGAGTGTGGGGGGTCGAGTCAGCAGTGGCCATGTCTCACCAGATCTATCCAGAGCCCTACACCTGCCCCTGTGTACAGACACATCCGTACAGAAACGAGTTCTATGCCCAATCCAATGGAAACTATATAGTCATATTCTCAAGCAGAAAGCCTTACAAGTGCAATAAGCGCAAGAGGTATGAAACGCACACAGTAGAGGGGAATAAGGTCCAGTTTGACATGTCTCCTGACGGGAGGTTACTCTGTTCAGCCAGTGCCGATGGAAGAGTGGTGCTGTACGACTGTGGCACTACTCGGCCTCTGAAAACATTACCAGTGTCGGACAGTTGCTGTGTTGCTGTGGCGTGGAACCAGCATACATCCTCTGTTATTGCTGTGTCTGATTGGAGTGCCAATATTGCTGTCGTAAAATAGCTTCTGCCACATGGTTTTTGCATTGGGTGTTTAACCTTGATCAGCCACGCACAACTTATATAAGTGTCCAGAACCTCCAGGAGTTATACCAAAAAAATGCTAGGTACTGCTTATTTACAGAAGAGAACTCTGGCGTATATACAAAGATGACAAGGTGCACATGATGACTAGCATGATTGGTTGGGACACATGGCCAAGGCCAACCTATTTTCCTTCTACTACAGCTGCTTTGGGGAGCTAGATTTATATATTCTATTTGTCTGACTTGTAGCTACATGTTTGCGAGGCATGTTTCACCAAAACTATTACTTTTTGCATGGTGTAAATACTTAATATTTAACTTGCTAATGATAGCATGCATGGAGATAAAACTTGGTATACGCATGACATAACGTTTGCAGGCAATTTTTATCACTTCTTCACTTCTTATAAAAGTTGCTAATGGTGGTCTGCATCTTAGATTTACATCATGCTCAATGGGCTTTTAAAAAACCTGCAAATTTTTAATAACGATGATATAAAAATAAAGGGACACACTTGATAAAGGAATGGGACACATGAGGCATGGTTTACTGAGCAGACAAAGTAGATTTTGAGCAGGTTCCGAGACCATCACAAAATAATTGGGCGAGCCCACCTAGTCGTGTCGTCGGCTCGAATTTTCTATATTATATACGACGCACCGTCGTCGTCTTAGTGCGCATGCGTTAATACTAGTGGAAATGCTTTGGGCGAGCGGAGCGAGAACTCAGCGATAATATAGCTACGTACCTACAGGTAAAATGTTTCAGCAAGTAACAGAAGTTATTAATGGTGTTGTCATATTAGTTGAGTAAGGCAGCTGCGCATACGTAGCGTATATAGTGAAACTAGACCAGAGAAAGTAGCAAACAGGAAAGGTAATGTGCCCGGCACCCACCTCTCCATCTCTTAATCGTCGCTGAAAAGACAAGCCTCTCTGTCGTGAGGACTTTCGACGGGCCGGCGTTCTGTCTGTCTGCCTCTGGAGCAGAAGCAGTATCGTTGCCGTGCCCGCTCAAGATCTCCCTGAAAACGACAGCCTCTCTTTCGTGAGGACTTTCGACGGGCATACATAGATAGAAATTCGAGCCGAAGACACGATTCGCTGTCTTTTTTTCCTTCGACGAAGAACACTATCCTCCTCCGGTAATCTATCTCGATCATGACGCTCCATGCCATAAGACGACTCCGTGCGTCGTATATAGATAGAAATTGATTCGTCCGAAAACAAGACACTATATAGGAGCGCCGGCGCCAATTTAAGCGCTTCTTATTTTGACGACATACTGTACGGAATTTTTTCTTCCATCCTCTTATATACAGTCCGCTTCGAAGGCAATGTCCGCGGAGGATATAGTGTTCTTCGTCGAAGAAAAACGACAGAATCGTTGTTTCGCTCGAATTTTTCTATCTATGTATGCCGGCGTCGAAAGTCCTCCGACAGAGAGGCTTGTCTTTCAGCTAACGATTAAGAGATGGAGAGGGGGAGAGGGAAATTACCTTTCCGTTTCTACTTTCTTCGGGTTCTAGTTTCACTAGCTAATTATTGCAAGCTGCCTTACTCAAACTTGTATATACAGCACCAATAAATAACTTGTTACTGTGCTGAAGATTTTGCCTGTTAGGTATGTACTAATTTATTATACGCTGTAATGTGATTTTTGTATATACGTTTTGAGTTCTCGCTCCGCTCCGGCTCCAAAGGATGCCAAGGCATTTTGACACTAGTTATAATTACCTTTTAGGTGAAATATTTCCAGGACTTTTCTCTGGCTATTTCGAGCCTGGAAGTAGTTCGCGTGAGAATGCATGCGGAATGTAGATAATAGGGAGTGAGGGCGGTGCTGTTTCGCCCGTGATGTATGTTTGGAGTTATGGCGGTATAGAGATTATGAGTAGGCGACACCGAGCGGATTTGAACGCTGAACGCACCGGAGTTGTGAAGCGCTACTTTTGATATCCAAGCGTAGCCACATCGTTCTGGAATCGGAAGTTATTCTAGATTTTAGACTCAGGCGAAAATTCCTCAGATGCAGAGGGGGCCTATAGGGGGGGGGGGGGGGTGACGGAGCCTGGACGCGCCGCTGCATTGCAAGCCTGCGCCGGCGAATCTATGCATGTCGCATGATACAAAAACTTCGAAACGTTTGCTTGGAGCGTGCAGAAAAACTCACGCGGTTTTGTTCTTCTTATATGTCAATCTATCGTAACACGTCGCACAGGGGCTATTGTAAGTAAATGGAATGTAAGCATTATAAACACGAAAAAAGAAAAAAAAGCTAATAAAGCTTCTGTCGCTTTTTAAGTGTCTCTGCAGTGTCCTCGCCTCAGCTTCTTCTCGTCTTCCGCAACATGCATCGACAACAATCAATAATTTGATTTTCTTGTAATAACATTCAAACATAAAGGTTATTGTAGAATGCTAAAGAGAGTTATACCGATAGTAATTCTTATCCTTACAGTGCCTAATTTGCCTGATGATTTGAGGGTCTTTCAGAACCACTCATTGAATCCCAACAAATACTTCAGCCTGGCTTATTACGTTGGAGTATTGTGATCATTGTTGGTGTGACGTTTCAATTGGACCTTATTTTGCTCTCAGCAGCCTCAGAGTCGAATTCTGATGGTTTTGATGATTGTGCGTCATATTAATGTCAGTATGGATCTGTTTGTAATGTTCATCTCCCTCTTGCAAGGCATGTTTTTAGCACAGTTTTGCTAATTACTTGGTTACATTTCACTGCATATGTGTGTGCTGTTAATGCGCTGCGTGAGGGAAGGCCTCCAGCACTGTGTGCGACAAACAATTGAATTTTATAAAACCACCAGATGATGACCGATGTTTCTCTTGGGCACAATTTATATTGAGCTGACTAACCATGTCATACCAACAGCATTACAGCTGTGAGTCACGTTACTCATTACAGTATGGTGTGGATGTATAAGTGTGATAAGTATGATTGTTATGCGCACTAAGTGGGTTGTGACTGGAGGATTTAAATATGATTACTTCGCAGTCAGTCACACAAATGGTTATTAATGATGAAGTTTGGATTTCTTTAGGTGTTATGATAGGCAATACAAGTTACATTATTAGTAAATGAATATTCAAATGGACAAAAACCCAGATTTTATATGTCACCTCTTCCTGACTAACAACATTACCAATACAATCATCACTCTGAAATCTCCTCCTCTCCCTAGTTCACCCCTGTCCCACGCCCTCTCCTCCCTACCCCCCCCCGCCCCTGTCCACCTTTCCCAGTTATCACTCCTGCACCTCGCTCACACCCTGGTAATCCACCTGTGGCTTTCCTCTACACCCCTCCACTGCCCCTACCAAGCAGCTCTTCCGCTGCCGCCTAAACAAATGTCTTTTGCTCAACCTGTCAAAATTTTTGGTTGCTTCCTTATTCGCTAACCATCAAGAAAATCAACCTAGCAATGGTCGAGAACAAACCGGAGCCATTCTGAAGTGTAAGACACACAAACTCAACCCATCCAAGCACTAGTACTAATGCTAATATGTTGGAAAAGTTGTTGTGGTGTAGAAAAACAGCCAGCCATGAAAGGCCAAAGATCCGCACAATTTCAACAAAACTGTGCGTGCCCGTCACATCATTGTATGGGCATGTACATTGAACCTCTTTGCAATGAAAACCACATTTATAATACACATTATGGGGTTGTCAGTTTACAGGATGGGAAACAGTTAGATTGGTTGGTGATAATCTAACCCGCATTTTAAGATGAAACTCCCCTCCCAACCAGAGACAAGGACTTACAAGAGGGATTAGTAGGGAGTCCATCAATGAAACTTCCCAGGTCTCAACAAATCAAAACCGGAGGTGGGTTGTGAGCTTCTACACTCTCTATGCATGTGCTTAGTGTTTGACAGGCTAGTGCAAGATTATGAAATTCTTTCCTGTTTTGGTAACATCAAGAAAAAGAAAGTCTGAAAAACCGTGTTATGGAGTAATTAAGCTATAGAATGTATCACCCTTGCCTTTTACACAAACCACTATATACAATATCACAGGGCAGCCCTGGGAAACAAGGACTCTGCTGGCAATACTTTTATACCCCTATGTTTATAGCTCATCAGAAAGTCTAAAGCAAAAATATTCGTCAAGCTGTAAAAGTTATCACCCAGAGAGTAAATACAAAACAAACAATTACAAATAGTTTTTCACAATACAAAACTTAGCTGGAATTTTGGTATAGCAGAAAAGGAAAGAGGTTAACTTTGGAACGAAAAAAGCAAAAAAAATTCCATCATCGCCACAGTTTAAATAAATATGCATATTGTTTTTGGTGCATTTAACACAAACACTAGCTGCAACAACCCCCAATCCCAGCAGTAACAACAAGGCAGAGCCGGCAGTTATCTTAATTGTTCATTCAAAATTCGCTTTTATTGCACACATGCCTTAAGAGCATCAAAATTAACATACTATATTGTGACTTAGAGTTTGCATAGTGTGCTGTAGGGGAAGAACAACAACACGCAGATTCATTTATTACACAAGGTAACAGTACAATAGCTGATAAGAATATGAAAACCCAAAAAGTAATAGTGAAGTTTTGTAGCTGAGACGCTGATT